ATAAAAATAAATAATTTTAATCCAAAATTTAATATTACTCGACCGGGGCGGACCGTTCGTTCGTATTCTTATTTAAACTTCAATTCACAAATATTTGTCTGAAAAGTAAAGAAGGCCGGCAGTGGCCAGCAGTTTAATATAAATTTTTTTTAGCATGACAAGGATCCGATGCCCTCCTCATCCTCCCCCGAATCACTTGTCCTAATTAAAAAAACAAAAACATTTCTCTGATAGGTTTAATGTTGTTGGTAAAAGTTAATGCTCTCCAGCTGGATAGCATGGGAGTCTACTTTCTTTACATTTCTTTACTAGTATTAGTGGTCCAAGACGACCGACACTGGAACGCATCATCAAAGACGTGTTATACTTTTCTTCTCTTTTCTTCGTCATTTCCTTCTGTTTTCTTATTGGCCCATTGCCATAAGTTGCTTTCCTGTAAAGCAGCATCATCAAGTCTCGTCCCTTTTGCGTTGACGTGCCAAATGATTAAATAATCGGTTTTCCTATCTTATCCCTTAGGACACGGTTTGTAATTAATACATAAAAAATGGTAAATATTGGACTTCAATTTTAACTTTAATGATTAATTAATTAAAATTATTATTTATTAATAATATTAAAATAAATATTAATTTTTATACGTTTAATAAAAAATAAAAAAATTTATAAAAAAATTATGAAATAAGCCTTATATAAAAAAAAGAAAGTTAAGTATATAAGAAAGTTAAGGGAAAACATTTTTCTTTTTAAAATGGTGAGAAAAATATTTTTTTGATATATTAATTTTTTAGTATTCAATAATTATATTAGATTTCGATTAATTAGAAATCGATTTGTGTCATACCTTAATAAAGAGAAGTTTTTTTGTGCTTATTTCTCTATTTATAAAATTTAAACTTAAAATTTTATTTTAAAAAAATTAAACTTTTTCTACTTAGATCAATAAGTTATTGATGAAAAAAATTTATTAGTTAAGAATTATATTAAAGAAAATAAAATTAA